CACGATCTCCTTGCCTCGCGTGTACTCCACGCCCACTGTGATGGGCGCTGCGTAGCTGAGAGGGGGGAAAGGGGTGCGAATGGGTGGAGAGGGTGCCATGAGGTGCACGGTAGAATTGCTTATCTCCTTGCTCAAACGCCACCACATAGGACGCCTCAACGCCTCCCTCACTTATGTCCATAGCCCTTTCTAAATACCCAATTCAAAACTCCCCTCCCCTCCTCGATGCTCCTCCCTTTTCCACCCCCAACCACTCCCAGACCTTCCCCCTACCCCTCCACCAACCTCCCTTCCTTCCCCAAACCTCCCTCCCCCTCCCCCCCTCTCCCCCAAACACACGCACGTCATGTCTCTTAGGCGGCAGTTCTGAGGGGTGATATCCTCCATCACATAGTCCTCCTGCACGCTCGGCTTGCCAACGAAAATGTCCAGGTACCTGCTGGGCACCACAGGAAGGCGGGAGAAGGGGGGGGGGGGGGGGTACGAGCGGGAAAGAGACAGTGAGGGCAAGGGGTGAAACGGAGAGAGTGTTGCGAAACCACTTTTGAGAAATCTCAAAAGTGAATTCAATGCAAAACGCAGGTCTCTTGTCATCAACGGGAGCGCTGGGAAGCAAGTTCAATGGAGACTCACCTGAGCAAGAATTCATGGGTCGTGTCACACATGACCCATCAATAAGCTGTGACGGTAGCGTTTCAGGTTGATCAATATTATCCTAGGGTTCACTACAGGCAACTCTAGATCCAAAACGGGTCTGAACTCACTTGTCTTGTCTTATGGATAAACTAATTTTTGAGTCGACTCAAGCAGGCGAGCCCTAAGGGGTGCCAGACTCACCTGTCTTGTGGTATACAATATATCAGGGTCATTGTTTGTTTTGCTATTAACATGCTTGGTGACTAGTGTGGATAATCTTCTTCTATCTCTCACTTCAAGGGTCAACGGTTTAAGCTTTAGGGTTTTGAAGCTGTTTTCCCTTGTTGTGTTTCCTGTAAGCAGCTGCAAGGTTTTTCTTACGCCCTGAACCCTAAACCTTCCGTGGACATTGGGCTGGGCGCAGTGGGCTGGGCGCGGTGGGCTGGGCGCAGTGGGCTGGGCGCAGTGGGGTGGGCACTGACTTGAGGTAGAAGTTGGGGTCGGTGTCGCAGGTGACGCGCTCATTGGCCTTGCGTGGATGATCTTTTGAGACCTTACAGTTTGAGAGTTCAGGGTTTCAGGTTTGAAGTCTTAACGCCCTTCCCCATTCAGTTCCCCTGCCACTTCTAACCAGCTTCGACCCTGTGCGGCTGTGTGGGACAGTGGGCACTGACTTGAGGTAGAAGTTGGGGTCGGTGTCGCAGGTGACGCGCTCGTTGGCCTTGGCGTGGATGATCTTCTTGATATCGCAGTTCACAAAGTAGTTGAACGAGTCCACGTGCTGCTTCACCAGCCCGCGCACCTGCTCGTGATGCCGCTCAGTGCGCGGGGGCAGGGAGGCGGGAGGAGAGGCGGTGGTAAGGTGAGGGGTTTCCAATTGATAATTGTCGCAGTTCACAAAGTAGTTAAACGAGTCCACGTGCTGCTTCACCAGCCCGCGCACCTGCTCGTGATGCCGCTCAGTGCGCGGGGGCAGGGAGGCGGGAGGAGAGGCGGTGGTAAGGTGAGGGGTTTCCAATTGATAATTGTCGCAGTTCACAAAGTAGTTAAACGAGTCCACGTGCTGCTTCACCAGCCCGCGCACCTGCTCGTGATGCCGCTCAGTGCGCGGGGGCAGGGAGGCGGGAGGAGAGGCGGTGGTAAGGTGAGGGGTTTCCAATTGATAATTGTCGCAGTTCACAAAGTAGTTAAACGAGTCCACGTGCTGCTTCACCAGCCCGCGCACCTGCTCGTGATGCCGCTCAGCGCGCGGGGGCAGGGAGGCGGAAGGAGAGGCGGTGGTAAGGTGAGGGGTTTCCAATTGATAATTGTCGCAGTTCACAAAGTAGTTAAACGAGTCCACGTGCTGCTTCACCAGCCCGCGCACCTGATGGTGAGGATGACGCCGCTCAGTGTGTGGGGCCAGGGAAAGGGGGACAGGTGGGGGGGAAGGAAGGCGGAGGGTGAGGTGAGGTGCCTGAAACGAGTTCACATGCTGCTTCACCAGCCCCCCGCACCTGATGTGCTCAATCTGGGCCTCTGGCAGCAAAGATAATGAGTTTTGGTGTCAAGAAGACTCTCAGAAAAGGGTTTTTCAGAGCTCAAAGGAACTTTGGGATTGGGGTTTAAGAAGTGTAAGACGGTCCCCGGCCAGCTTGGAGAGGACAGGGCATTAAGGTGCAGGAGTTGAGTTGAGAATGAAGGATAGGTCTGAGAGGAAGGATTGGAAGCCAAGACGATTTCTGGGTCGACCCAGATACCTCGAAACGGATGCTTACCCTTACGAAACAATGCTGCAGAACAATATAGAATCAATATCAGAACTAGAATCAGATCTGAATCGGAAGCAGATTCAGAAGCAGGAGCAGAAGCAGAAAGAGAAACAGAAGCAAAGCAGAGAGCAACTGGTAGCGTTGGCTTATGCGACTGCATACTTGTAGATACGCTTGTGCTAATCTCAGGATGCAAGCGTATCTACAACAGTCTTGATAGTTCTTGAGTGTGCATGCAAGCACACACCACACACACACGCACGCACCTTGAGGAACGCCGGCAGCAGTGCAAACTTATCCACGGCGCTCTTGATGGGCGCTGTTAGCTTCGCAGGGTCGTCCAGACTGGTGGTGCACACAGGAAAGGAGGGGGGGGTGGACGAGGAGGGGATTGGCATTAAAATTGAATCAAAAGACCGGCAGCGGCGAAAATATATCCACGGCGCTCTTGATGGGCGCTGCTAGCTTCGCAGGGTCGTCCAGACTGGTGGAGCATAACGGGGTGGGAGGAGGAGGGGGAAGGTGGGGGGAGAGGAGGGGGTGGGTGGTGTGGGTGGGGAAGGAGGGTAAGGAGAGGGGAGGGATTGAAGGATGGGAGGTGGGGTAAAGTAGAGAGGGACCAACGGTGGGGGAAGAAGGTGGGAGGAGGAGAAGAGGAGGGGAGAGGAAGAGGAGGGGAGAGGAAGAGGAGGGGTGGGGAGAGGAGGGAAGGGGAGAGGAGGAAGCGGAGGAGGAGGTGCGAGAAGAAGGTTGGTTCGATTGGACGTCAGAAGGGTTTGGCAATGCGAGCGATTTTTTAAGGGGCTAGTTTGTCCTGCGTCCACAACCCACGTGGCCAACTTTGAGGGGTAAAGAAACGATTTTTGGGAGTTAAATAAAACGACATCTGACGGGAAGGGAAGTTATGGTCTGGGAGGGTAGCAGTACGGTGTGGGACCACAAGCGGGTTTCAGGGAGGAGCAAGACAAGTCTTCGCGCGTTAAGAAGCTGACGTGAGGTGGACGCGACGCTAATCCTCCGAAACTGATGTTTCTTCTAGCGAATCTAAGCCTCGGATACTGGCCAGGAAGAGGTTCTAAGAACCCGATCCGGGTATGGCATGACATGCATGCATGACTCCACTTGATCCTCCATGGATGCACACTCTACACGAACGGTACGAAGCGATTTAGAGGTGACTTTTGAGTCGACTCAAAAGTCACCACGGTACGAAGCGGTTTAGAGTGAAGTTGCCTTTCTCTTCCTCGCTCGCTCTCTCTAGCTCTCTCATCTGCCGCGAGGCACCAAAGGAGGGAGCGACGTTCCGCTAAGAGCAGGCTCGCGAAGCAAACTACGCGGCTCCAAGAACCTGGCGCCGCGACGACAAAGCTGCGCCTGTGGGGATATAAGGAAATAAAGAAAGGAAATAGGTGGAAAGCTGACCTGGCGACATCTGCCATCCACGATGGAATTTCGGCGGCGTCATGAGGTGCCATGATGCCTCTCCGATTGGACAGACTAAACACGACGCGCTCCTCAGATTGCTAGAAAGAGTCGAGATTCCGTGATAAATGATTCGGCGCGCAAGGGATAAGGCTACGCTGTTTGAATGGAAGCACAGGCATTGCTGCTAGTTCCAGAACAAGCCGACCGCCATAGACTTGGCTGACGGGCAGTCGTGGTTATGGTTTGGGGTGTTGCGTGGGCAGGAGTTTGTTCCCGCTTGTGTGTGCATCGCTTACGTCTGTAGCCAGCATGTTTACAAAGGCTATTTATTAAAAGAACATAATACATAACATTGGAATGAAAGTGCACTACCCGCTTACGGAAAACATCGGTGCAGCCCGCATGATGCACACCGACGTGGGGCAGTGCGCTAGGGCCCTGTTCGGTAGACGTCCCAGTTATACTGCGGTTGGTGGAAGGCAGGTTCCGAGGATATTATTAAAGCCCACTAGCTCGATATTGGAACACCGAACCTGGCCAGTGTGACTTGGCTACCGAACGCTTCAAAAGCCAAATCTGACTGCGGGCGCCGAAACTGCACAGAAATTGTCCTTCCCGGGCAAACTGGACTCGCAGTGGAAGTGGCTCCCAGTTTTGGGTTTCAGTTACACTCCTCGAGGGCCGCTCTAAGTGGCACAGTTTTGGGTTAACTTTAGATTAGACAATTTCGGGCCAAAAAATATGCTCTTACCTTCTTGAACCAAAAAGAGGTGGCGCACAGCAAGTGATGATTTTTATTTTCCTCTGTTTTTAGCAGTGTAGCCGTGCGACGGGCAAGTACGTATACTTTTGGGGTCGGTCTGGTAAAGAACCACAATCGTATCACAAAATTTACAGCATATTTCAAGGAACCCCCCAACCACGCGGAATCGTTGCGGAGGAAATTGTGTGATGTGACCCCGCCACACAAATGGAGTGCGCAACAAGTCATCCGCACCTCCCTCCCTCACCAACAGTCCCACACACGCATCATCATCTTACCAATAGGACAGATATAAGCTGGACATTAGCTGGAAGCTCGACATTATTGGTACCAAATAATATGCCAACCCCACCATTTTCATGCTAATAGCACCACGAAGTTAGGCAGCGGCCGCGGTACAATACGTCGAGTCTCCCATTGAGATAATGACGGCCGCAACGAGAGTGTCGGACCTCCCTGAGGACTGTCTTGCGTGCGTCCTCTCCTTCCTGCCTCCCGCTGACATCGCCCGCTCTGCCTCGGTCTGCTCGGCTTGGCGCGCTGCTGCCGCGTCCCCGGTGGCGTGGCAGCGCGTGCTGCCGGACCTCTGCCGCCACGCCTGCTTCACCGCGCTGCCGCTCGCCTCCCGCGACCCGCACCCGCGCGCGTGGTGCCGCGAGCTGTGCCGCGGAGTGCTGCTGGACGGCGGGAAGTTCCACGCGCGCATGGACCCCAGAACCACTAAGCTCACTGTCAGCGTGAGTATAGCGAAGGCGTGCGGAGTTACGTGGATGGGCGACCCTCGCTACTGGCACATGGAGACGCGTGGCAACACCACTGGCGCGGTGTTTCCCGACGTGCCGCATCTGCTCACGGTGTGCTGGTTCGATGTCAACGGTCACGTGGCGCTGCCGTTCCCCCTGCGCTGCGGGGTGTACGACGTGGCTTGGCGCGTCTCCCGCGACCCGACGCACGAAGAGTACGCACGCGCAGCAGGCGAGCAGCAGAGGCGTGGGGGGCCGTTGGATGAAGGTGGGGATGAGAGCGATGATGACTATGACGACGAGGAGGACGAGGAGGAGGAGAACGAGCGGGAACAGGAGGACGATGGAGAGATGGAGTTGGAGGTTGAGACGGGAGGAGGGGTGCATGACAGAGAGCAGCCAGCACGTAGGAGGGTAAACCCGTTTCACCACATGTTCGGGATGATTCGACCGCTGATATTTCGAGAGCATGGCGTGCATTCACGGCGCGCTGAGAATCAGGGCCATCACAGCAGCGAGCAGCAGCAGCAGCCGCAGGACTGGGAGCGGAGGAGGGAGGCTTGGAGGCGAGTGGAGAACCGGTGCTGGTTCAAGTGGGTGCAGACCCCTGCGTTGAGCAACGTGAGGGAGGAGGGGAGTGCTGGGGGAGGGGGAGGCGAGCAGAGGCAGCTGCGAATCTCCACTGCCACCATTGCGCTTCTGCCTGACTGGACCACCTTGCATGCAGGCCGTGTGACTATCAGGGGGGCAACGGCAGGGGAGACGGCAGTGGCTCCCACGCTGAGTATGCGCCTGTGGGAGACGGAGAGTGGGTGGTGGAAGGATGGGCTCTACTTGGATGCGCTGCAGCTCACAGAGCAGTGAAGCTATATGCATGTCCCTTAGTTTGGTTTTGGACATGGCTGGTTCTCATATACAATCCCATTGTCAAATAAAGGGAACGCGAAATAGTTGTTTTCCATGTGTAACCCTTCTTTTTGTACAAACAAAGACGATTCTATATCAAGTTCATGTCATTATTTCATACGCTACATGGTATAATGAACAATGCCCGTATGTCCGGTATAACGCTTATCGCGTCAAAAGGGCGTGGTACTCCTTGTCCGCGGAGTCTCAGGCCGGACCAACCCATGCCTGCACCTGAGAGGGACCAGCTGTTGAACAGAAGTGAAAGAAAATTCCGTCTCCACCAAAAATAGTCGCAGTGCTATCTTCGTTGCGACTGTTCCGTCGAGCCGGTCCGCAAAACCTAAAACACTGGTCCGCAAAAGTCACTTGTACTCGAGTCCGAGTTTGGTTTTCGAACTGATTGGCCTGGTTCGTTGCGATTTCATCCAACCACATACGGTGGAGTGTCCAGCAAGTCTTCCACGCCTCCCCTCCCCGCCAAGAGCCCCCCTAGCGGTCTAGTGGAGTGTCGTTTACCAGGAGAGTGACGGGCTTGTGACGCGGCCTCCTAGCAGCCAAGAGGAGTGTCGCTTACCAGCCGATCACGCATACTGATACAATGATTGGATACTCGACATTTTTTGTACCGATGGCATCCCAGCCCCACACTCTCATGCTAGTAGCACACGAAATTAGGCAGCGGCCGCGGCACGATACGTAAAGTCTCCCATTGGGAGAATGGCGGCGAGGGAGACGGGCATGTCGGACCTGCATGACTACTGTCTCGCGTGCGTCCTCTCCTTCCTGCCTCCCTCTGACATCGCCCGCGCTGCCTCGGTCAACTCGGCTTGGCGCGCTGCTGCCGCGTCCCCCGTGGCGTGGCAGCGCGTGCTACCCGACCTCTGCCGCCACGCCTGCTTCACCGCGCTGCCGCTCGCCTCCCGCGACGCGCACCCGCGCGCGTGGTGCCGCGCGCTGTGCCGCGGGGTGCTTCTAGACGGCGATGCGTTCCACGCGCGCATGGACCCCCGCACCGCCAAGCTCACTGTGAGCATGAGTATCGGGAAGTTGTGCGAGATTGTGGGGATGGACGATCCTTGTGGTGAATACTGGTACATGGAGACGCGCGGTAGCACCACAGGCGCGGTGTTTCCCGACGTGCCGCATCTGCTCACGATCTGCTGGTTCGAGGTCAGGACCGTTCCTCCCGTCGTGCTGCCGTTCCCCCTGCGCTGCGGGGTGTACGACGTGGCGTGGCGCGTCTCCCGCGACCCGACGCCCGACGAGTACGCCGTAGGCGGGCGGCAGAGGTTTGCGCGGCTGTTTGGTGAAGGCGGGGGCGAACGGGAAGAGGAGGAGGAGGAGGAGGGCGGCGGCGATGGCGAGGTGGAGTTGGGAGGGACGGGAGGCGTGAATGACGGAGAACAGCCAGCAGATTTGAGAGGGACGCCTGAAGCAAGGAATGGAGCAGTCCGTGACAGTAGCGGTGTCGGTGGCGGTGCAGGAAACCCCTTTCACCGCATGGCGGGGATGATGCGGCGGTTGATAGGGCGGGAGCGCGGGGTGCAGGCACGGCGCCCTGAGGGTGAGAATCCGGGCCAGCACAGCAGAGTGCAACAGCAGGACATTTGGGAGAGGAGGAGGGCGGCATGGAGGCGAGTGGATAGGCACTGCGCGTTCAAGTGGGTGCGGAACCCTACATTGAGCAGCGTGAGGGAGGAGGGGAGTGCTGGGGAAGGGGAAGGCGAGCAGAAGCGGTTTCAAATTTCCGCCGCCACCATCGCCATGATGCCTGACTGGACCACCCTGCCTGCAGGACGTTTGACCATCAGGGGGGCTACGGCAGGGGAGACTGCAGTTGCTCCCGCACTGAAATTTCGCTTGTGGGAGACGGAGAGTGGGTGGTGGAAGGATGGACTCTATGTGGATGCGCTGCAACTCACAGAGCAGTGAACCCGTGTACCAGTTCGGTTTTGTAAATGGCTGGCTCTCAAGTCTGCTTATCTCTAGGGTTCATGAGAGTAGCTGCTGAAGTTGGTCCGTTCTTTGTGCTGCCATAATAAAGTTGCTTTTGTTTAGGGTTGAGATTGAGGCCCTAGATTTTGAACCACCAGGATTATTGCCTCCTTTAACGTGTGAGAGCAAAGATTGAATATAGTAAAATTGACATAATACATAATCGTATAATTTCCGCTGAGAACTATGTTTACATTTGAATCATAGATGTAGTACGATGATCGTGGTACAGAACCGCGCAAAGCCACCCTTCCGGGCAGCCCCGTCACACCAAACTTTGGTGCGAGTCCTGGTTCGGACCTGGTCCGTCGGACCAAACCTGCTTCGGCGGACCACAGGTCCGGAAAGAGTTCCAGTGTGGTCCGGTACGGTACCCCGCTGGTTTTTGGAACAGACCAGCGCGGAACTGGGGAGCCCGCAAATTGTAGTGATTCCAGCCATTCCGCCTTATCTGCAAAGAATCCCAGACACACATAAAAGGCAGCAGCCGCATCCTAAGTTAGACACGCGTCGGACGGTCGACATGGTTGGTACCAATAGCATGCTAACTCCACAGTTTCATGCTAGCATCACGAATCTAGGCAGCGGCCGCGGTACAATAGGGTACAATACGTCGGGTCCCCCATGGAGAGAAGGCTCAGGAGGGCCGCAACGAGAGTGTCGGACCTCCCTGAGGACTGTCTTGCATGCGTCCTCTCCTTCCTGCCTCCCGCTGACATCGCCCGCTCTGCCTCGGTCTGCTCGGCTTGGCGCGCTGCTGCCGCGTCCCCGGATGCGTGGCAGCGCGTGCTGCCGGACCTCTGCCGCCACGCTTGCTTTACCGCGCTGCCGCTCGTCTCCCGCGACCCGCACCCGCGCGCGTGGTGCCGCGCGCTGTGCCGCGGAGTGCTGCTGGACGGCGGGGTGTTCCACGCGCGCATGGACCCCCGCACCGCCAAATTCACTGTGAGCGTGAGTATAGCGAAGGTGTGCGGAGTTACGTGGATGGGCGACCCTCGCTACTGGCACATGGAGACGCGTGGCAACACCACTGGCGCGGTGTTTCCCGACGTGCCGCATCTGCTCACGGTGTGCTGGTTTGATGTCAACGGCCACGTGGCAATGCCGTTCCCCCTGCGCTGCGGGGTGTACGACGTGACATGGCGCGTCTCCCGCGACGCCGAGTATGCATGGGCAGCAAGCGGGCAGTGGAGACGCTCGTTCATGTGGAACGGGCGCCCTTTATGGAGCAAGGTGAGGGAGGAGGGGAGTGCTGGGGGAGGGGGAGGCGAGCAGAGGCAGCTGGAAATCTCCACCACCACCATTGCTGTGCTGCCTGACTGGACCAACCTGCCTGCCGGCAGTGTGACCATCAGGGGGCCAACGCCAGGGGAGACGACAGTGGCTCCCACACTGAATATGCGCCTGTGGGAGACGGAGAGTGGGTTGTGGAAGGATGGGCTTTACTTAGATGCGCTGCAGCTCACAGAGCAGTGAAGAAGTTTACCAGTCCTAGTCTGGTTTTGGGCATGGCTGGCTCTCAACTTTGCTACACAAAACACAAGGGTTCATGAGTAGCTGCTGTGGTTAGTCCACTCTTTGTGTTGCTATATCTGAGTTGCTTTTGTTGGGTTGTGATTGAGGCCGTGAGGATATGTGTGATTCAGTCTGCAGATTGTGAATTACTGGGAGTTGGAATCCTTGTCCGTTCGAGCAAAAGTATTGATTACTGCAAAGTAAACATAAGACGTGCACATACTTGTAGAGAAATGCTGAAGTTATTTGTTTACATTTTCGTAGTTTGTCTCATGAGAAGGATTGTAGTAGTACAGAACCCTGTACAAAACGCAGTCGTATATGTAGCATGTCCTCTGGTTACACTTGGCACTAACGAAGGAACGAGAGTACTTGGCACTAACGAAGAAAATTCCGTCTCCACCAAAAATAGTCGCTGTGCTATCTTCGTTGCGACTGTTCCGTCGAGCCGGTCCGCAAAACCTAAAACACTGGTCCGCAAAAGTCACTTGTACTCGAGTCCGAGTTTGGTTTTCGAACTGATTGGCCTGGTTCGTTGCGATTTCATCCAACCACATACGGTGGAGTGTCCAGCAAGTCTTCCACGCCTCCCCTCCCCGCCAAGAGCCCCCCTAGCGGTCTAGTGGAGTGTCGTTTACCAGGAGAGTGACGGGCTTGTGACGCGGCCTCCTAGCAGCCAAGAGGAGTGTCGCTTACCAGCCGATCACGCATACTGATACAATGATTGGATACTCGACATTTTTTGTACCGATGGCATCCCAGCCCCACACTCTCATGCTAGTAGCACACGAAATTAGGCAGCGGCCGCGGCACGATACGTAAAGTCTCCCATTGGGAGAATGGCGGCGAGGGAGACGGGCATGTCGGACCTGCATGACTACTGTCTCGCGTGCGTCCTCTCCTTCCTGCCTCCCTCTGACATCGCCCGCGCTGCCTCGGTCAACTCGGCTTGGCGCGCTGCTGCCGCGTCCCCCGTGGCGTGGCAGCGCGTGCTACCCGACCTCTGCCACCACGCCTGCTTCACCGCGCTGCCGCTCGCCTCCCGCGACGCGCACCCGCGCGCGTGGTGCCGCGCGCTGTGCCGCGGGGTGCTTCTAGACGGCGATGCGTTCCACGCGCGCATGGACCCCCGCACCGCCAAGCTCACTGTGAGCATGAGTATCGGGAAGTTGTGCGAGATTGTGGGGATGGACGATCCTTGTGGTGAATACTGGTACATGGAGACGCGCGGTAGCACCACAGGCGCGGTGTTTCCCGACGTGCCGCATCTGCTCACGATCTGCTGGTTCGAGGTCAGGACCGTTCCTCCCGTCGTGCTGCCGTTCCCCCTGCGCTGCGGGGTGTACGACGTGGCGTGGCGCGTCTCCCGCGACCCGACGCCCGACGAGTACGCCGTAGGCGGGCGGCAGAGGTTTGCGCGGCTGTTTGGTGAAGGCGGGGGCGAA